CTTTTCCCTTAATAAATTATTCGATATTTTATTTTCCTTTATGTTTCCTGGGAGAGGTAAGAAGAATGATGAAATAAGAACTTTTGACAGTTACATGTAAGATAACTTTAATAAAGTCAATAAAGACATAGGTGAAGGCATTATTAACTTTAGCCTCTTGAGTGAAAACTTTATGCACCTGCTTCCTGTAACATAGGAGCTGTTGCACCTACTGGAAAGACAATTCAATTTAATTTTTTTTCAGAATCAAAATATTTATTATGTGTTCTTTTGCACATGGCACTGTTAGGCACTCTACAGCAATGTGTAACATGCTGTATAACAGCAAAATTGCCCTCTAAGAAGTTACAATCTAAAATGGACAATATCAATGTAGACACACTGAATAAGGCATTTTGTAAAATGAAGAATTTTTTTTTTGCTCCAGTTGATACATCTGACTGAAGAAAGCATGAGGGAGGACAGGATCAAAATTAAAGGAGGGAAAGGTGGCTATATCTTCAGGTCGCCATACACTCAACGGGAAACCCTTTGGTAGCTGGAGGTACCGCTAAAATGAGTGGCTCTCCAACATAAGCAGGGGACAAAAGGAATCCCACACTAGCACCCCTAAATGAAAAGGGAACCTAATACTCCGATAGCCACGATGAGAAAACCTTAATCTGTAAGACTGTAGATGACAATTTCAATTCAATTTTAAAAGCACCTGTTAGGTACAAGGCCCTGTGTTTAGTGCTGGAGATAAAAAGACTGTTTGGAGTCTTGGCCTCAAGGAGCTTGCATTTTTTGAGGGGAATGATGTACACATTGGGCAGGTACCCCTTCAAGTCTTAATTCAGCGAATGGGAAATAGTTCTCTTTCTCTGCAACACATATCATGTTTTAAGATGAACAAAAAAAATCTTACAATGCCTACATTTTCCTTATCAATTCATTCATAAAAATATGCTAATTTAAATGATCCACTTCTTTTATGTGGCAAATCAATTAGCAAATATTGGGAAAATAACAATGCTACTTTCTTGATCCAGAAGCCAATTATGGTTCCTTGAACCAGGAAAAGTAATGATCTCCTAATTGAAGGAAGTGATTTTTAATTACTCATGCCTAAAAGCAATCTTTTATAATCCATGAAGAAATGTTAACAGTCACTTTCCTCTATCCTTAATTGTAAGAGAACCCAGGATCAAATAGGTCTATGGCATCTTGGGGTCTGTGGGCAAGAATGATCATTGGCAAAATTGTGAAACAGATAAGTTTGCCTTCAATTCAATTCAATAAGCACTTATTGAGTACCTACTATGTTCTAGACCAAAAAAAAATGACTACTGTCAAGAAATTACCATTCTGGGAGGAAATGAAATCTATAAAACAGGAAATCAGTATAAAATATATACATAATAAATACAAACTCTCACCAGGGAACCCTCTTACAAAGTAATTGGGGGAAGCACTAATAACTGGAGAACTCAGAAAAAGTCTTTTGTAGGTAAGTTGAACCTTCAAGAGATCAAGGGCTTTCAAGAGGCAAAGACTGGTAAAGAGGAAGAGCCTTACAAGTATGGGGTACAGCTTGGGCAAAGGCACCAGGAAGGAATATCAAGCATCATGTACAAGAAGTATCAACTAGCCCAGTCTGGTTGCAGGACTGAAAGCTTGAGGGAGAACAATGTATAATTAGCCTGGAAACAGAGGTGAGAGCTAGATTATAAAGGGTTTTAAATACCAGCAAGAGGAGGTTTTATTTTATCTAAGAAGCACCAGGGAGCCACTGGGCTTAGAGCCCCTCTAAATACTTTTCTGTAATTGCCCTTCCCTCTTCCTTTGCTCCCTTCACCATCTCTCACATACACCAAGTCTACACAAGTTGCCCTTGGCTGCTCAAGGAAGCCTATGTGGTACCCCATCCTACCTACTCCCTCAGAGCTGCATCCTTCAGACTTTCCTTCTCTCTTCTCCCAGGCTTCAACTCCTTCTACCATCACAATTTACCAATCCATTGTCATATTTCTTAAGAATAAATCTTATTAGGTGACAAGTTAAATTAATAAACTAGGTCCAACAGGCATTAATGATTTAATATGTCATTCTTCCCAAATGATGCTTGCATTTTAACAAGTTCCACAAAGTTTCCCATGATCCCCATAGCTAGAAGTGATTCCTCCCTCCATGAATCTCTTGTGCCTTTCTGTCTGATCTCTCCTACGTACCTATCAAAGGGTAGCTAGGTGTCACAGTGAATAGAGTGGCAGGCCTGAAGTCAAGAAGACCTGAGTTCAAGGACTTCAGACACTAGCTATGTGACCCTGAGTAAGTCACTTAACCCTGTTTGCCTCAGTTTCCTCATCTGTAAAATGAGCTGGAAAAGGAAATGGCAAATCACTTCAGTATCTTTGCCAAGAGAACTTCAAACAGGTTCATAAACAGTTGGACACGACTGAAAAATGAATGAATAACAACATACACTTATCACATTGTAATTTGCATTCTAGATATCTGGGACCGGGTCTTGTCTCCCAACTAGAGTATAAACTACTTAAGAACAAGGATGGTATCATTTCATCTTTCTATTCCCAGAACCTAGCACTAGCAAAGCCAATAGGGAATTTTTTTTAAAATTATTCTTTTTGGTGGGGATGGTATGACTTTCACATTTGGGTGTGGGAACTCCCTCTGCTAATTTATGTCACACTCCATTCATAACTTAGTATATAAGCCTTAGAGAGTGGCCAAAGGTCTAGAGAGGTTGTGACCCTGCTCATGGATGTCCTGGTAGCAAATATCATAGGCAGAATTTGATCCTAGGTGTTCCTGATTCCATGTCCAGCACCCTGTCAACCACACCACACTTGGCATTCTCTCTACTTTGGTATGGTGCCTCTCCCTTGAACATGCTTGCGACTCAACTCTGCAAATTGTTCAATTAATTAAATTAGTCAATGTAACAGTAAAACCAGAATAAACCCATTAATTTACCACCAGGTCAGTGGTCATGAAAGAATCATATTGAAACAAAAGCTCTGCTGTACATAGAATGTTAGTAGTAACAATAACTCAAATTTATAAGACAACCCTTGAGATTACAATGTTCTTTAATCTACAATACCTTATATGATTCTCCCAACAACCCTGTGCAACAGGTAGAGTAAATATTATTAACTCATTTCACAGATGAGGAAGCTGAGGCTATGGAATTGAAGTGACTGGCCCAAAGTCACAAAGCCTAGCCAGGGCAGAGCTAGGATTCTGAACAAATGACTTCAACTCTGGAAGGCTAAGTTCCCTCATCTGTAAAAAGGGAATGATAATGATTCCAAGTCTAGAGTTCTTGAAGGAAATTAAGGGCTGTCGTCAGTTGTGTCCTGACTCTACGACCCCATTTGGGGTTTCGTGGCAGAGATACAGGGGTGGTTTTCCATTTCCTTCTCCAGTTCATTTTTTAGATGAGGAAACTGTGGCAAACAGGTTAAGTGATTTGCCCAGGGTCACACAGCTAACTACTAAGTGTCTAAGACTGGATTTGAACTCAAGAAGATGAATCTTCCTGACTCCAGGCCCAGCAGTTTATCCACTTTTCACCACAATTAGCAGATAAAATAATACCTTATATTTACATAGTGGTAGAATCCCTTCCAACTCTAAACCTATGAGCTTTTGGGCTCACAAGAAAAGGGATTTAATCAGGTCTTCGGTTAGTAGCACATATAGAACTTCAATCATATCTTTTAGTCCCAGAATAAATAAAGTGAGATATGGTTCCAGGGTTGACATTTTCCACTAACTTACAGTCAGTTTTTTTTTTTTAACAGTATTAGAATCTTCTTTTTTATTTTGTCTGTTGCATAGAGTGAGAAAGGTGGGGATTGACCATGATTTGCCACCTTAAAAAAAAAAAACAAACCGGAGAGTTGCCCCTAGGTCCCAATGGCTCTTAGGAATAGCCCTGAGCTATTGTTAACTTGTTTCAACCCTGATAAATCTTAGCATGCTATTTTAATTGCCCACAAGATAACAGGTGTCTTTCAGAGGCACCCAAGAACCAGCCCTGCTCTTCAGGATTTGAAAATCAATTTAATCATACACCTGAATTTTCTTCCCTACCAAGTGGGGTTGGGGGAGGCAGTTGTTAGTGGAGGGGTATGAGGTGGGCCTCGTTTGTTTTCCTTTCCTTTGTTACATCACTATTAATGCCAGGGAGCCTCTACTGCCTTATCTTCACTTCGGATCTTCTTAAAGGGAGCGTCCTAGGGTCGAGTTCGTCACTTTTTTTGCAAAATGTTAGGCTCCCCAAGTTGTGTAAACCACAGAATCCACCCGAGCATAGTACTCATAAAGTAATTCTGCTCCGCTTTCACCTATTGATTCTTATAACCACCGCTTCCCATATTTCTATTCCATCAGTTGGCTTGGGGTTCTATGATTGAGACCTGAAATGAGTCACAAATACACATCACACAAGCGCGCGCACACACACACACACACACACACAAATGGTTGGGAGGAGGGAATAGTTAATGAAGTAAATGACAGCTGTTTATGTCTAGGTGATAAGCCACATTTAGCCTGTAATAAACGATTCCGCTCTCTCAATCAATCTGGTTCGCTTCTGCGGGTCAGATTACCCGCTCTGCTCTCGCTACAGTCCTGGCTGTCCTCGGTCTTCGGGGGAGGGATAGTGGGCAGACTAGCTGGACAATGGATCCTCCCTTAGCAGCTGTCACCCTGACCCCATACGGAAACCTTTGGATGCCCGCCCGGGAACTATTGGGCAGCCCCCAAAGCCAGGGTAGGGTCAAGGCTGCGGCCCCTCCCACCCGCAGGGCAGTGGCCAGTTCAAGGTGTCCTCAGGCTGCAGCCTGGGTAGTGGCCGAGGGCTCCCCGAGAGGCTCCCCAAATGCGTGGAGTGGGAGCAGCGCGGGCGCACCGGGGCTGGGGGCGGAGGCGGGGGCGGAGGCACCAGGCTTCTGACTTCCTGAAGGTATAGGAAAGGAGCACCAGCAGTCAGCACCCAAGATCAGGCCAGCTCCGCTGCCCTCCTACCTGCCCCTGCGGCAGTCACGGTTCAGTGGCATCAAGTGTGCATCTACCCGACTGACTGACCCGACTCATCGAGTGACGGACGCACGTGTCCCGCGCAGGCCATGAAGGTCCAGTTTGCCCCCATAAACATCCCCTTGGAGAGGAGGCTGCAGACCGCTGCCGTGCTCCAGTGGGTCTTGTCGTTCCTTCTACTGGGTAAGAGCTGCAGCTGGCTGGTGGGTTGGGAATGCCCCCTGCCTTACCGCTCCCGCCCCGTCCTTCGCTCTCTCCCGCCCCAGGGAGCACCCTCCCAGGGTCAACAATCCCGTGTCCAGAAATTTGGCTACTGCCCCATCCCCTCCGCTCCCCACTGCCCCCATCCCCAAGCCAGATCGTTGCTAAGCGGAAATTTGGAGAGCTATGGTTCACCCACCCACCCCGCTATAGGCAGGGCTGTTGACCATCGTTTAAATGGAAATATAGGCGCCCCTCTTTCTTTGGGTCAGGCATAAAAAAAAAAATACACCAGGGCTTCACAGCAGCCTTGCGGCCCGCCCCCAAAACAAATACTTGCCCTGGTTTTTTCCTCCATTTGTGGTGCAGAAAGCGGGGAACGCTGGATTCGCATGCTTCAGGGAATTGGATTTTTGAAATCGTTGGACCCAGAAGCATTTTCCAGGCGTGTTTTAAGTTCAGCTCACTGCTTACACATCTAATCAGACCCAACTGTAGAGGGCAAAGACAGACTTCATGAAAGAAGGTTGCCCGATGGGCTAAGACATCTTCCCCAAAGGCCCTTTCTTCTGCAAGCTTGTTTTGCCATTGATGAAAATGGGAAAGCTGAGTTCTGGGGGGTTGGGGTTTCTCTGGACCAAAGCTGTCTGCGGAAACCTTTTAATTACTTTTTAAATTCTGATTTTTTTTTAATGTGAATTTCCATATAGAGATCAGAACACAGAAAGAAGATTATGTTTGAAACTGAATGTCCATTTCATATGGCTTACTTTTGTGGAAATCATTTTGTGTTCTGTTTTCTGTGGTCTTATATGCCTCCTGGGGACTGAAGTGTAAATACAAGCAAAGGTGTTGTTTGCCTGCAGTTTACAGAGTCCTGTCCTGGAAACTAGGGAGATACAAAGTTTAAAGAAAACTAGGACCTTATCTTCAAAAAGCTTAAGGTGTAGGAGACAGAAGAAACACAAACACAGCCACAAAAGCCAAGATAACTGCTTTAGAGGTCTAAAACCAAGTTGTTTGAAGACCTAAAGAATATAAAACAGAGCTGCTTGAGAGGAGGCCTGGGTAAATCCAGGAAAGATTCCTTAAAGAAGTAGGTTTTTTTGAGTTGGATTCTACAGGATGAGTAGAAATTAAAAAGGATGGGTTCCTCATCCTCAAGCCCCCCCGATCTGTTCCATCACCAGTCATTTTCCTGAAGGACAAGTGTGATTGTGTCACTTGTGATCACACCACTGAGGGAGCTCCAGTGGTTCTGAGTTACAAGTAGGGTACTGGCCACACGTCACTTCCTATGTACTGGCTGGGCATCCTGCTTCAAATGTGCCCCTTCCTAAAACTACTTTCGCTATATTATGAATATACCTACCTGGGTACACGCTGTATCCCTAACACAAGTACATATGTAAACTTATCAAGGTCAGGGACTCTTTCACCTGTGTCTTCTTATCCCCAGGACTTAGCAGTGCCTAGCACTTTGTAGGTACATCGATAAATGCTTGTTGATTGATTAAAGATGGGGAAGGCAGGCAAATCAGGCATAGGAATGGAAAGTATGGAAGCCCAAGCTTGAAATGTGCTGGGGGCAGAGAACTATTTGATTTAGCTGTGTTAACAGGATTTTTACAGAACCAGTCTCTATCCTGAGAATGCTCTGAGCCATAAAAAGAAGGCCTAGAGACAGGAATGCCAATGACCAAGTAGTTTAATTAATCAGTTTCAGAGTGAGGAATGTTGTCTTAGCTAAAGTAAAAGCATAGGTTATATACTTAAATGACAAGCGGAGAAGGTGAATTACAAACAATTGTTTAGAGATTTCCCACAAGAAACCTACAAGCCCCACACTACAACAGTTCTAGAGTCAAGTCTTTGGGGATCATGACCACCACCCCTAAAGTACAGAACCAGAGTTCTGTGATGGAAACAGGTTCTTCAATCTTTGATTCGATTCACTTAATGTCCAGTGATCATGAGCATTGTCAGAGTCTTGATTTATCAGTTGAAGCTGTATTGTGAGCTCTGATTCCCAAGCCAGAGAGGCAGCTCTTGAGAAAACTAAATTATTAGCATATTCATTACACATGTCATATCGATTAATATGAAAATTATAAATTCCCTTCTCAGTTGGAAGAGAATGTAGGGGAGGAAAGATAATGCTTGAAAGGTAGGGAAGCACCAAGTTGTGGAAGAGTCATAGATCTGGAAGGAATCAGAAAATTCATCTAGTCTAGCCCCTTCATTTTATGAAGAAGAAATTGAGGCCCAGGGTGGGTGAGGTAGCACAGTGGATAGAACTCAGGGCCTAGAGTCAGGAAGCCCTGAGTTGAAATCTGCAAGCAGTTTTTTGAGTTGAGTTTTACTGGATGGGTAAAAGTTAAATAGGTATTTGGTCCCACATCCTCAAACCCCTCCCTACTCCATTAGAAAAAGTCTGATTATGTCACTTGTGATCAGACTACTGAGGAAACTCCATTGGTTTCAGACCAGCTGTGTGACTCTGGACAAGTCACTTAACTCTCTTTGCCTCAGTTTCCTCAATTGTAAAATGGGGATAATAATAGCACCTACCTCCCAGGATTGTTGAAGTTTAAGTGAGATAATAATTACAACTTGCTTGGCATGGTGCCTGGTACATAGCAAGAGCTATATACTTGTTAGCTGTTATTAGCTATTATTATTCTTCAATGTCACACAGGTAGTAAGAGGCAGAGCTGAAATTTTAATTGACCTCCTGTCCTCTGACTAGCCATCTGTCAATCTTCCATTACAATATGATGCTAGATAGGAATTTGTACTTTTGATGGTAGGCAATAGGGGAACCCCAGAAGATTTTTGAGTGGAGGAGTGACATACAATAAAGATGACCCTGGTAGCAAGCTAAGGTGATGAGGATAAATTGGAAGGGGGAGAGTGGAAGTACTTCCCATTTACCTACCACTTTCTACTTTCCAAAAGGCTTATTCCTAAAGAAGGACTTTATCTCAAATTTCATTTAAGTTAATCAGTCAAAAACATTTATTAAGCGCTTCAGCTCAGAATCAGAAAAAATAAAAAATAATTTAAAAAAATAAAAAAATATATTTCCCCCAATTACATGTAAAAACAATTTTTAACATTCATTGGTTTTTTTTAAGTTTTGAGTTCCAAAATCTGTTCTTCCCTCCCACTTCTCCCCTCCCCCCCTCCTCCCTGCCCTGGAGAGGGTATGCAATCTGATAGAGGTTGTAGCATTTTTCATTATGAGTCTTTTGGGATTGTCTTGGATCATTGAATTGCTGAGAATAGTTAACACAATTGGTCATCTTCATGATATTGCTGATACTATATATAGTGTTCTCTTGGTTCTGCTGACTTCCATCTGCATCAGTTCATGTAAGTCTTTCCAAGTTTTTTCTAAAATCATTCTGTTTTGAGTCATGATTCTGACACTGGCTATAGGATCATGGGCAAGTCCCAGAATCTCAGAGTGTGAAGGGACCTCAGTGGCCATCTAATCCAAACCCAAATCAGAAGAAGGAACAACATCTCTTATAAGTTCAAATCTTCACTTGAATGTGTTCAGAAAGGGAAATCCAACTAACTCCTTGCAGCCTCCTAATTCATTTTGGACAGCTCAATTTATAAGAAACTTTTTCTCTCTTACATGAAACCTAAATTTGCTTCTTTGAAATCTGAACTCATTGTTCCTATTTCTGTCCTTTGGGACCAAGCAGAAGAAGGCTAATAAACACTCTTCCACATGGAATAGGGAAATAGAGACCAGATCAGTGATTTAATTGATATAAGGATCCTGCATAAATAAGCTCTCTCTACTAAGTCAGGGTAGCACCTTCTCTGCTAGAGAAAACTAGATGGCACATGGGTAGTACACTGGACCTAGAGTCAGAAAAACCTAAGTTCAGATCTGGCCTCATACATTAACTGTGTGACCCATGGTGAATCACTTATCTGCTATCTGCCTCAGTTTCCTCAACTGTAAAATGGGAAGTATAATATCACCTACCTGGTAGGGTTGTTTTGAGGATCAAATGAGATATCTGTAAATCTGCTCAGTGGCTGACACACAGTAGTGCTTAATAAATACTTATTTGTTCCCATTGCTTATCCCAACCCCCCAACCCCCATACCCTTATAGTCTTAGAGAATTGCCTAGTGTTGAAATGATTTGCCAGGGTTACACAGATGTTAATGTGTCAGAGACAAGACTTACATCCAGGCCTTCCTGGCTTCCAGACTAGCTCTGTACCCATGTGAGGACCCCACAAAAACCAACAAAAACTATCCTGACCTCTGCTGAGTCTTCTCCTCCAGGTAAACGCCTCCAGTTCCTTCAACTGCTCTTTACATGAAATAGACTAAAGCCCCTTTAACATCCTAGTTACCCTCCTCTGGCTGTTCTCTAGCATATTATATCCCCTCTAAAGTCTTCTCTGGACTAAATATCACCAGTCCCTTTGATAATCAGTTCTCATAATTCACTTAACCTTTCCAGGTTCTGATTTCCTCATCCCTAAAAATGGTGATGACAAAACCTCTATTACTTACACCACAGATTGTTTTATTAATACTTTTTGGAGGCAAGGAGCACTAAGTGACTTGCCCAGAGTCACACAGCTAGTAGGCATCTGAGGCTGGATTTGAACTCAAATTCTCCTGACTCCATGGCTGGTGCTTTATTCACTCTACCACCTAGCTGCCTCTTCAAAGAGTTGTCTTAAAGAAAATTCTAGGAAAATCATTTCTGTTAATAACTATCTCTCTGCTCTACTGACACATTAAAATTATTTCATTTGTACTCTTTTTTGGCAAGTGAAAATGGAATGAATAGCAGCTAAAATGTATTTTGTCTTATCTGCAAAAGTCCCTAAATTATATTACAAAGATAAATTGAAATTCTAATCTTTTCACAGTGTTGCAGAAGACTGAATTCAAGCTGATGGGTAAACATTATTAGCCCTTGGGATACATCCCAGGATCTC